CACATTTGCCTCCAGGAACAGAGTTAAAATTTTATGAGGTATAAAGTTTGTTCACAATAGCATTTGTATGGTTTCAATGTTATCGGAAAACAAATTTTTGAACTCATGAAAGACATGCTGTTTTTATGTTGCATTTGTTTCGTAATTAGATTTGATGTGCATATATACTGATTTCTCTTATATAACGTGGTAAACACTGTAGAAGAAAAGTTCAGCCTTGTTGTCGAACCCTTGGATTTAGTTCGTAGCAGTGAAGAGGTAGTCAAAATTATTTTTCAATAATGATCATTCACGAATTTTAGGAGATTGCGCCGGAACGAATGCGTCCCCTATGCATAGATGATATGATATCACAAGATCACGCATTGGTGGACTTGGTTGATGGTGCATTGTTAGTATTCGAAAGAACCGATAAGTCAACTACAGAAAACAACGCTCATTTGTATTATACCACAAAATATAATGCTATGCAGATTGAGGCATTGCAAAATCCGGAGGGTTTTGGAACACCGCTCAATGAACAATTTGATCCAATTTTGGGAGAAATAAGCCAGGTTATTGCTTTAAAATCCTAGTTTCTTTGTAAATATTCTAAAATTTTGAAGTTTAACTTTTTTTTACATTGTATAGAGTATATTTTACAGACATGGACCATGGGACAACTGATGCAATGGATTGCTACTGGTATTGGATGTTCGGCAGATCATATTCTCTTGTGGAAGGTAATTTTTATTACTGGGCTTATTTCAAACGGGATTAGCTTGAAAGTTCATTCTGTTGTGTCACTAATAAAAATGGATTTACTTTGTTGCCTTTATGAAGGTTCAGCTCCGTCCGCTTTGAGATGTGTAGATATATTCATTTTTGCTCATCAGAAACTGTTTTTTTTTCGAGTGCAGTAAAACTCCTTATGAGTCAAAAGTATGACAAATTTTTCGGAAGAGTCTTGTTTCATTTTTCTTCTCCATGAGGATTGTGAGGATTATTTTTTTCATACGATATTTATTTAGTTGTAGAAAATTATGAATAAGCACAATGTTTATTGTGATATTTATGACAATAATATTTTAATGAATTATTTGTAGGTAAGTCAATACAACGAGAAACCAACCAACAATCATTTGAATGAGCATGAGTTACGGGTTTATTCAGTGAAAGATCTTCTTGGACTCTCAGGTCCACATAGGCATGATCCTCGACGACAGAAACGCTATCGTGTTTATTATACAAAGATGCCCATTTCCGTGAGCGATCTCGAACGACGTTACAAGATGCGAGTACAAATGATGGATGAAAAAATGCAAATCACGGTTTGGCTGTTTTTCCTGAAAAATTTTGCCACTATTTCTATTCAAAAGCATAGTGCCATTAGTTTGAAAATGATATATTTTGCGAGTTTTTAGGAAACTACTGTCTTTCCCGAGAAAACAGGAACAGTTCAATCAATTCTGGATGAAGCGCAGAGAGAATTTCGCTTTTCAGCCAACGGGACTAAATTATTGAGGTGATTTGGAATATTTGTTGGTTTTTTAGCGTTACTTCTAAGCAAACATTTGTCTAGTGAACTTTTTTTCTGTTAGTGTCACCTTAATTTATATTGCAGGCTTGTTTACGTAGGTCAGGCATCACACTGTTTACGGGCTTACCACGTTTTCACTAATGATACACTTGCCAGTGAAATTTATACGAAGATTGGCAATACATCTTACGCAGTCAGTTTGCCATCTCATTCAGTATGAATTTGCAAATATTTCGACTTTTCTGGTTGTGCCTTTATTATATACTTTATATATACTATAATATGGAGTGTTATATACTATAATATGGAGTGTACAATCTTAAGATTATTTGAACAGCATATATCTTAAAACTATTTGAATAGCATATTATATATATGCATATAAAAAGATTTTTGTACTACAATACATCATTATTCCATTAGATATTGATGACTTTTGTTCTAAAGTCATTAATTCAGTAAAATTTAATCTAGTGTTTCCTTTTTTTTGCTTCCGAAACGTCCATTTATTTGAGTGAGACTGTATACCGCTTTTTTTAGAAGAAAAATTTTGGAATTATTACAGATACGGGTTGAGGAGATACCGGAAGACGAAGTGACCATTAAATCTGGCGAACATCTCTTACCTGTTGGTCATTTCGATAAAGTAAGTTCAAGATTTCTACGCAGATATGGATTATATTATTCTTATATATCGTATTCTTTATTAGGATATATCTAGACGAGTCATAAAAATTTTTCCAGGATCCAACGCGCATGTTCGGCATTCCGTTTTTCATTAAAGTTACAAATGGCGAGACACTGGAGAGTGTAAGTGAGCGAATTAGAAAGAAGCTGGATGTCACTGCTAAGGAATTTGAAAAGGTTTGAAAGAAATATTCGTAGAAAATTGAAGTCCGTGATTTAGTTCTTAACTCATGTCTAAATCAATTATTTGAAAATGAAATCCATTTTGTTGCAGTATAAGTTTGCAATAATTGTCAATAATCGAGTGAGTAAATATTTGGACAAAGACAATGTGGTTAATCTCAATGAACTTTCTCATACGCATATTACAGGTTTTCTTATTTAATTCCTGTTTTCACTTTCCTTTTAAACAACACAGTCGCTTTGAAAAGCGACTGTGTTGTTTAAAAATGTTAAAGCTAGTGACAGTATGTATAGCGAGTTAGTAACGCTTCAGCGTAAATGTCATAGAAATATAGTAACTCCAGTTATTAGTTATCGACGCTAAAATAAGTTGGACAAAAATTTTTACAGGTTACGCTTCCGCGCCTTGGCTTGGATTGGATCACATGAACAAAAGCCGCGGTACGCGTGGGTCACATACAACTGAAAAAGCAATCGTTATCCATAACTAATGCTCTTACTGCTAATACTGTTGTACTTATGCTGCCTTACGGCATGAACTAGGGGAAGGTGGAGAGGGGGAGGGGAGAGAATATATTTTTCTGAAATATTTTCAAAAACTATAAATTCTTAAATTTCTTGGAAATTAGTAGTATCAGCAGTGTATTTGGTCGCGGTGATTGTATTTGTTTATTATGAGGAAAAATATCCTTCAATTTATCTTGCTGTTGCTGATGCTTTTCACTTCATAAGTCTTTTTTTGCATCTGTGATGCCAGTTGCTTTCTGATGGCTTCTTCGCATATAAGCTCTCTCTCTTTCGCAACAGTGATACATTGCTGGAGCTGTAAACTGTGTGAGATGGTATCAATGAACACAAATTTGTGTGTTTAAACCAATGATGTATCATAATCGTCAGACTTTTTGCCGGATTACATAATGCTCCAATCACTGGAGATTTCTCATACTAGTAACACCAAGTTCATCGGATTTGATCTAGGCTTTCCTGACTTTTGTGCTGTCTCTTTTCTCTCTTTTGTTCTGTTTTCTTTATCTAATAGTAATGAGGCTTATAATTTGAGAGGATTTTTTAACAAGTTCTGTAAATGTTCATTTTATTGCGTGTAGCATAACTTCCGTATTTGAGAGAAGTGTTTGTTTTTGTGAAGCACTTGAATGAGCCAGATAACATGATGTCTGTGCAGGTGAGAGCTTATTACCTGATGAGTTAAATTTATTGTTTGTGTTGGACACATGATGAGTGTTATTTTTACATTATGATGAGTGTTATTTTTACTCTCCGCTGATGAAGGAATCCTTTTCAGCAATGAATTTACTGATTTTTAGTACATGAATTTCTTGCTTTGTTTTCGAACTGATTTTCTTGTTCCTTCGTTTCTGTTTGTCGTGTTATGTTTAATTGTGTGCAGCAGCAAACTGAGGCATTCATTATAGGCATGGCGTTCGCCTCCTCGTGCACACCCTGAATTTGTTAATAAATTTTTTTGTCTCACACAATTGTTATGACGAATGAAGGCGAATAAATTATTGTTCATTTTCGCATTCCAAAAAATATTCGCTTTATTACTCAGATTTGGTAGTTCATTTAAGTGAGTAGGAAGATGTTGGCTATTTTGCTGCAAGAATCGTGGACGTGGTTGCGTCGTAGTTGGTACGTTTATTGTTGCTGGTGACAGATTTGAGTAGTTTGGAGGTTTGGTTTTGTCAGCTTCGGTCTATTCTAATTCATCCTGGATGGGATTCTGCACATTTACCTGTAAGACAAGGCAGAACAGATTTGAAATAAGGGGGTTTGAAGTTTGTTGAGAAAGAGGTGGAAGGCCTGACTGGCATTCTAGATCGCAAGTTGAGGCATGTCATGGTTACATTCTATTGAGACATTGTACAGGATATAGCACTTACTACCGGTGTTTATTATCTTTACTCAAATATGTGAAAGGTTTTATCGTTGTATAAAGCCAAATAAATGTTACGGTTGGTAATTTCTATTTAGGTCATTTCAATGAGGGCTACTATTAGAGCACGGCGAAATGACAGTGTCATGTTCTAGTTGGTAGTCTCATCGCCCTTGACCTAGTTAAGTTTCTACGTTTTGGAAATTCATATGCAATCACCGACAGCTGCTCCTTGTCTACTACTTTTCACTCATCTTAATCGCACTGAAGCATAGTGTAGTTCTAACTGTTACTTCTCTTTTTCAATTTTTATGTTCGGTGATTCTATTAATTTTATATTCTTTGATAGGTATAGCATTAAAGTTGCTAAATGACTGATTTTCGTAATTATTTCATGTAAGCTTCCAAGCATGCAGTATAAGAATTATCGATACACAAAGTATCTGATAACTTTACTGCATATTCCCAAGGCACACATTTCAAGCATCATTATGCCTTTCAGCGTAACAGTGAAAAATTCTTGCTCACTTAGCGAGCTACACTGTGTATTTTATTAACCCACATTACGGGACGGTCATTTAATATTAATTGCCACCGCATTTAGAACAGTCTATATAAAATGTAGATAATTTTAATTTCAATTTTTATAGCATATAGTTTGGTGATTTGTAACAAGATCAAAATAAAGGACAGAATCTTACTTCAACTAGTAGTTTTTTTTTTTAATAAGTACCCGTTAGCAGTTTTGATTATTTTGTGTGCTAGTGAATTTAAACGGTGGTTATTGTGAAGAAAGCTTTTGTCCATATTGTGAATAATGTAGGAGGAAGAATTCCTGCTTTTTCTAAGAAACTACTTTTATTCTCCGTAAGCAAATGAGCCATCGCAGTGATCGTCGTATCTTATCCCATGCATATCGTACACACACACGCATACATACACATACACACACAGCCACCCAGTACATACCATAGTACCAATTCCAGCTCATTCCATCATCATAAAAATTCCACTCTAACGCCCTAGTTTTGAGATTCAAATTTCAAAATGGTGAATAAAAAGCACTTTTTGATCCGAATTCACTATTGTTAGTGCTGTCGGATGTTCAGTACCTATTTCAAAAAATTTTATGCTCAAATAATTCATTTGATTTGTTGCGTAATTTGCTTCCAATATTCGATAACATCTAAGTCCTTTTGATCTCTCTCTTTGAAACTTGAAAGGATATGAAGGAAAATTCATTAAATTCAGGTTAAACTAACCAGCAAAAAAGTCTGTTTGATGAATTGAAGATTTATGGGATAGTTATTGGGGCACCATCATTGTTCCCACCGTATCACAGAATGTTTGGTCATGCTGAATAAATCACTTGCTGCGAAAAATGACTGTTACTTTGAAGATTCAAATGTCTGTTTTGTTACAATTTTTCGTGACATTAATTTCGTAAAATTGCAGATCTGAAATTTTATCATTTTAGATGTTTCGTGTACATGAAGCTTCAACTCTTTAAGTAAGCATTTCTGATGTTTGCTTGTTTTCAGACAAAAGGAGCAATGATTATGAGAATAGTTAGTATGTTGCTGATTGCTGCTGGTATAACACATGCAGATATCAGTGATCGGCCGATAACAATCAGACTACCCCCACAGAATCGTAAACCAAATTTTATGAAGGAAATGGTACCACCGCGTTCTATACAGTCACCATTAGCACCGACTGCATCGGCTAACCGTTCTCAAAGGCCGCATTTAGGAAATCGCCCTTCATTGACTCCTGCTGCCCAACTTCCCGTTATACCCTCGGCAAGTTTATGTCCAATCTACAAAATACTTTTAAAAGTATTTTATATTTCGTTGTGACAAAATTCCACAAATGGTTTTCGAAATTTAAGTTTTTGTTAGCTTCTGAATTTTTATTCATGTTTGAGTTTTCCTACCTCCGTTCACGCATTTCATCTTTACGAAATCTGACAATAACTAATTTATAATAGGGAATAAAACTGGAATTAAAAAGTAAAAATTCCAGAAAATGCTGAAACAATGTCGTGAAGTATATTATAAATGACTTTCATAGAATGAAATTTTTCGGAAGGAACAATATTATTAATAAAAAAGTTCAATCAGTCTGTATCGCTTCATTGCTTCTATAACAATGTCGCCATTGTTACTCACAGTTAATTTCATTCATCAACTCTCATAAATTGTCCGATCTCAGTAATTTAAGACAAACAAGGATAATGAGAGCTGAACATCACTTTTGATCAGAGCACATCAGTCTGCCTCAAATTTCCTGATCTCATTCAAATCCCACAGTTCGTCCATCTTGGATAATTTAATGTAAATTTTATGAAATTATAGTAAAACATTCAGAAATCATCAAATGATGTATTTAGTCAACAGCTGCGGAGCAACAGTTTGTACCGCGTCCTGTAACAACCCCACCACCGCCACCTCCAATAAACATACCGCCAGATGTACAAAACCAGCTTATCAAATTTTTCGGTCTCGACAGTTTTGGCATACCCGGTCTCACGGGTAATCATCCAGATGGTTTTGCAGGCGCTATTCAGGTTTCTTATCATATATGAAGAAAATATATAATGGTGGTATAAAAGTGATTGTTAGAAATGCTTCATTTTAAAATTTTAGGAATTGAGGGCTGCAGGAATACCTGTTCAAGGCTTACCACTGGAACATATTTCTGGAAATCTGCCATCTTCAACTTTGCAGAATGGTCGGTATATATTCCTTGGAATTTATGAAGCTAATTGTAATTTGCATACAGATTGACTTGATTACAGATATACTGTCACAAGCAAATCCAGCATTTGGAAATCAGTTGAATCAGTTGTACAACGAAGCAACAGGTCCCACACATTATCGCGGCGCAGGTAGTATGCCTTTACCTGAAGCTACTCCTGGGGAGAATGGCCTCATTGGTTTATTGTCAAGTTCAATAAGGAAGCTAGTTCAAGATAGTAAGTTACTTTTATAAATTCTTTTATCTTGACAGCAGTTTATCCTTTTATTTAATGGGTGTACCTTTGTTAGTAGTTCTCATTTTAGAGCATTGTTTTTTAGCGGATCAATTTCTAATAAATCATTAAGAGTTTCAGGAAGTTCTAAACCAAAAATTTGATTGCAGCTGGTGTAGCTGATGCATTGTCGCAAGGCATTCCTAGTGTTTTGGGAACAAGTGGTTCCAGTGATACATCGGTCGCATACTCAACCGATGCTGAAGCTGAAGCTGCAGCACAGAGTGCCTCCCGTTCCGGAATTCGTCGGCAACAGAATGCAGCGCAACGAGTACTTTCTGGAGTAGCGGCAGCACTTGGAGCTGGTGGTGGACGTGGACCAGCTCATGCGGGATTGCCACGAATACCTGGTTTCCCACTGCTACCGGGTGGCATACCTCGTAATGAACAGGGTCAAATAGATGTTGTCCAGCTTATTGGTCCGTTTTCTGTTTCCTATAATATTTGTGAGAAATCCTATGTAGATAGATGTATGAATATTACTTTTCCTTGTACTACATGCATAATATTCAAATGTAGGTTCAATAACACGTCGTATTTCGAATGGAACGACGTTGGCTGATGTGATACCACCTGAGCAGTTGCAGACTCTTGCTGATAACGTGACTGATGCACTGTTACCGCCAACACCGGAAGATTTCGACTTGCACAAATTTATGGGGAGGTGGTTTGAAGGTATCAACAGTCCTCGTGCTACTGAACAACGCTGTGTTGTACATCATTGTTCGTTTTTTTGTTGCCATTTCATTTTAATTTCGCCTTTAAGTATTTCAAATATTAGTTTATTAGAAATGATGAAATAATGAGTGCTTTGCGACAAATTTCAGTCAGTAATGTTGAGGTTTTTTCTGTAGTTTTAGCTATCTTGATGTTATATGCCTGCAAAAAGCGAGGACATACTTTTGATCAATATATGAAACACAAAAAATCATGTTAAAGAACTGATTTGTTTAAAATTCAATCATTTTGATATAGATGGCGGCTTAACAAAGAACGATAAGACGGCTACTTTCACAGCATTGAAAATTTACCGTGAGGGGAGTGAATTCGGTCCCGTACGTTATTCAATCGGTTATGCTTTTCGAGGAGGTAATAAAGATGCCATGTTGCAGCTACACAGCTCGGAAACTCCTGATGCACAACCATGTTCGTTTGACTACTTTTATCAAAATGATTACATTAATATTATATCAGATAAAAGTCTACATTTTGATATTCGATCCGGTCCATTTCTTTTATTTCTATTCTGTTCCATTCTTAGTATTTGATTCTTTATTCACTTGGAATGATTTTGAAAAGCAGAATGAGACCGGTTAATTTAGCATTAGATTGAGATTTATCATGCAACTAAGTTTAAATTTTAATTTTGGTAAATTCATAAATCTTAGATTTTTTTAAAGTTTGTAATCATTTTTCAAGCAGAATTTTTTCATAATTTGATAAAAATAGCTAAAATTGTATCATGAATATTTGCAGTTTGGATTTACAAGTTGGGTCCGGAAGGAACAGATCCATTTGGTAATCCACAATATGAATGGGCAGTGGTATCAAATTGGGTGAAATATCCAGTAACAGTGTTAGTCCGAGATCCGGATAAATTTAAAGCGAAATATGAACAAGAAGTGCTGCGATGGTTAGAAGATCAAGGTTTTATTAATGGCTTCATTAGGGCATTTAATATGCTACAGCCAGCTAGCTATAGCTCTTGTCAGTATGCCGACAGTACTTTCGAAGTATTTGGACCTAGTAAACGTTTGACTTGAATTTCGTTACTTATCAATAACGAGTTTATTTTTTATTTTTTGGCTTTATTTGATTTGTTTACGTCATAGATATATCTTTTGAACTATCCTTCGAAAGATCGGAGAAGGAGCAAAATTATGTTTGAGAAATATAAAGCCACTGACACTCTTCCTTTTTTATTCTCTGTTGGTTTCTATTAGCCAACTCAAACTGAATTTTGAAGAAAATTCTAAAACAGTTGAACTTTAATGAACTTCACTTGCATCATTTACAAATTTGTTATAATCCATCCGTTATTTCAATCTTAATTGCATCACGGAAATGTTTTTTCTTAACCAAAATTTGTTTTGGTCAAGAAAAACATGAGGCAGTAAGACTGTCATTTTCAATCATAGTGGAAATCAAAGTTGATGAAAAAATTGAAAAACTATCCAATAAACAAGGATTTAGTGTAATTTTCAGTATAGTTTCGTAGAGAAGTTCAGATATAGCTAAATTATAAATATTGTTTGCCAAAATACTATTTATTTGGTAAATTGACCAAGGTCCAATAAATATCTTTTGTTTAGCAGTTAAAGTAACCAGCAATCAATTGTATTTGCCTTTGCGTTATGTTTTAAATGTGTTAAAAACTACAATTATCTGCTAGATACTAATTACCTGGTTGCAACTTTGCTGAAAATTCGAGATATGAAGGATAATTGACTATCAGGCCGTAATTAATGTTATTTGTGAAAATTAGAGATACATTAGAAGATGTAATATGTTTTGAATTTGTTTTTCATTGAATTACAACCAATCCTTTTCTTGCTAAAAGTTCTGTGATATAATTTTCACTGCTTATTAAAATATTTCAAAACTTATTTTGCTGCTTTTAGATCACCTACACTGAACAAACATCTCGAATACTGCACCATTACTGTTGCTACAAAAAAAATTTCCTACTGCCAGTCCCTAAAATGCATGTAACTTTTTGTTTTCTGAAATGTTATGTAACAACTGTAAATGTGCTGGAAAGTGGATGTGAACCACTGCATCATTAAATTTATTGAAAGATAAACGAAGCATTTTCAATTGATTAAAGTTAAGTAAAAAGTAATCCAATTACTATTGAGGAGACCATTATTTCTTACATGAGTGAAGAGATGATTGCAGAATATCTAACAACAAATAAAATGATGAAGAATAAGACTTGGCTCTACTACTCTAGCACTGTTAAACTATATTAATAGCTAAATGTCATCTAAAAAACATTTAAATAATTAAAAAAATAATGTAAGTTTTATCCTCATACCGAACAACTTTAATTCAATGATACGGATTAAGTTCAAATTTGAGAAGGACTTTGTCTGTTATGGGTACATTTTCCTAAGTTTTTTTTTTTGCTGGAATTTTTCCTTGTGTATGATAATTGTTAATTCGTAAAGGACAACATCTATTGAGCAGGACTCAATTACATTATATGTGACACAGTTAAGATAATTACTATGCATTTCACTGACATACAAAAAGAACTTCTTTCCATACTGGAAAAGTGGTGATTTATATTTTCGAATTTATTAATAAAACATAAAATAAATGCAAAATTGAAGATATAGGCCAAGGTGAGCTGCATGGAATGATAGCTTTCATGTGTACAAAAAATAAAAAAATTTCCCGCAAATGCAAAGTTGACCTAAAATGCTGCAATTTTAGTGAATGCGTTTAAAAACAAAAGTTGGGATATAATGATTGTGTTATACGCACTTGTACGTGGTATCTCATTTGAAAAAAAATTAGTGATTCTTATAAAAAGAAATGGCACAGGGAATATTAACCTAGATTTAACATTACAAATTTCAAGGTCTGATCGGATCAATGAATAGATGAATGAAGTTTAATTCGTAGGTCAACAACCTTATCCCACTGAACAGCCCCACACAACACAATATTATTGCTCAATTCACCGTACAGCAACCCGCAATTGACTTCTTTCGATACAATGATATCACTATTCTTATTACTTATTTTTATTATAAGCTATGTGGAAAGCATTGGTGAAAATCCGGTAAGCCGATTTACAGCTTAATTTTTTAAATAATTTCTGGAAGTATGTATTTATTCACATTTTTCAAAATGATTATTTTTTAAAGCATCTGTTTATTTTGGATACTTACCATTCACAAATTACAATCATTAACAGGATTAAAAATTTTTAAACTCAGAATACATAGTGATCTTTTGACATTAATTAATCAAATGACCATTATTAGTAAAAAATTGATTTAACTTCATATTTTGTAGTAATAGTGATAATTTTTAAATACCACCATTTTATTACTACACTCAAACTACCTCTTTACGTTGTGGTAACAAAATATTAGGATCGCTGTAAATGTAAATTTGATAAGAAGCAAAAAAAAGTGAACCTGATTGGAGTATTTGATGTATGGGCAAAGATAATTTCGAATATTTTAAAGTGTCATTAGTTTCCTTATTCAACCAATTAGCAGTTTTCAGATGGATATCAACGCCTTAGCTGGCATCATTGGTGGTATAAGCAATATGATACAAAATAATGTTGAAACAATTGATGTGCCATCTTCACAAATCATGGGTCGATGGTATCAGGTTATCGTTGCTATATTTATCAACATAGTAATTAATATCTCTATGTTCCTCTTTGGTGCGATATTCTGGCAAACTTTTAAAATCCTTACGCTATTATCGGCCATTGCATACGTAATAATCTGGTAAACTGTTACAACAAATTGGTTTCTAAAATTGAAAATATTTTTCTTTTGGATTTAGATCAAAACTAATTAATCCAAAAATGTTTCGGACTAATTAGTTTTAATCTAAATACCAAAGCATAAGACCGACGTAAAAGCAGGAATTTTAGTAAACTACATGTATTTTTTTTATCATAGTGGTATATTATTATTATTATCATTATAAGGTGAAACGTTATAATACTGTTCTAAGTATCCGTCGATGTCATATGAAAATAATCTACCCGTCAGATTAGTGACAAACTTTGAATTCAGAATGGTTTTAAAATTTCATGGATAATGTACAAATTGTTTTTCTTTGTTACTTAGTTTATATGAATATACATGTTACAGGTGTACAAAGCAGCAATAAGTTTCGATGTGTACAAGGCGGACATGTTTTGTCCAGTTGCATATTGTAAGCCTTTTCAATCTGTTCATTTAATGACATTGCTACAATATTCTAGTGCCAGTATTTTGATCTTAATGATATATTATCAGTGAGACTTTTTTAATAATGACTTCTCTGCTCTATGTCTTGAATGAACTTTCCAGTTTTTGTTTATATAACAATGCAAGAATTTGTCATTTAGGTGAGTGATAGCAGCTGAATCATATTTAAATTTATAGTCAAACCAAATTCGGTAATGGGTGAGGATGGTTTTTCAATCGAAGAAGCTTATCGAGTGATAACGAAAAATGGTCCAATTGAAACTTACAAAAGAGATCTGAATAAAGTTGGTGCCGGGCAGCATTGGATGTATACTGAAGAATATTTTTATCCTCGACAATGTGAGTAACATTTACGCTTGAAATTTAAATGAAAAAATATTTAAATATTATTACGTAATCACATATATTCTACTACGAATTTCAGTTAATATAATTAGTGTCGGCCCAAATTATACGAATGCAACAGATGGAAAGGAAAAGGAAAAACAGTATCAGTACATGGTTGTTACTGATGCAAACAGGCTATCATTAAGCGTTTATGCTCGCAATCCAATGATATTTTATCAAGTAATCTAATTACTCATTTATTTTTTGTTTATCATTTTGTGTAAATTAAATCTTCAAACGTGCGTGAAGTAATTCCAAATTTTATTTTTAGAAATATAACGAAGAAGTTGTGAAATTTCTTGAACATGCTGGATTCGGTGGAAAAGTTTTTTGGAATTCCCCGAAACCCATTTACCAGGGTCCTGATTGTGAATGGCCATCCGAAAAAGAAGTGTTTGCTCGCCGGTATGTTTCAACAGCGATTAAAATGATTTTTGAACGAATAACTCTTAGGGAACTTTTAATCACTGTTCTGAAAATCCCAATTCATTCAAATTTAACCAGGAATTTTATTGCCTCTGCAAAATTTTTACCAATGGAATCTTTCCTCATATTTAAAACGTTCCATCTCGTGAAACAATTTATTGACTCACTACAGCAAGCTAAATAAATCTTTGGCTTTTCTCGTCCTCCGAATCAGCAATATTATTTAATTTATGATTTAATGGAGCGTCACGGAATAAAAAAAATGGACACTTCAAAATTAGATTTCTTCTTAACTCCCGACCTTCCTCATCCCATTAGTCTTTTGATACATTCACAAAAACAAACGCAGCATAGATTTTAGCTGTCAATACAGAAGTAGATATATTTTTGGAATTAGAGGCCACTAATAAATGGTTCAGGAAAGATTGCCATTTTCTAGCAGCTTTCCAAAAAGTTTTGCTGCAAGATATTCTTAAACATTTTAATTTTAATGATGGATTTCTATATTTGATGGAACGTTCACTTTACTGAAATTGTGAAAGTATTCATTTTTTAAGAACAGCATCTAAGAACAAGTTGTAGTATGAATTAACAATTTGAAATAATAGAATATGCCATAAATACAATGTATTCTAATTTGCAATGAATTTTATTTATTTCAAGCTATTTTTTGCATTTTTAAGAAATATATGCAAATAATTTTATCCACAAAAAATTTTATTCACAAAATAACTTTCAGTTTATAAAAATGTGTGAAAATGAGCAGCACTCCCTCCCATTGTTATTTAGGGAATTGTGTCCACAATTAAGTAAACAAACTTTAAAATTGAAAGACAAAATTGTTTTATAGGGTGTTGAAAAATCAGGAAGCAGCAAAAAATGCCGGGTTGGAAACAGCGAACAAATCCGGATTATTTGGTTCCTCGCTCGAAAAAGATGCCCATAGTCCAATAAGAGAAATGTTTCAGAATCCACAACTGGCACTACAGAAACTAGTGCAAGGGCACTGACCCTATTAATGTTGACACACATACACACCCACATATACACACACACACATATTACTATCAGAGTCAGACCATTAAGCGAGGAGTATTCTCGCGACGTTCACCTCTGACATATTTCGGCCTTTGGCATATCTTCTAGCTGTTTAGTAATACATTTCCATTTAGATCGGCTCACATACTATTGGTCTTTTTGTGTAGGTGTGTCCATCTGTTCGTCTGTTTGTCTATCTTCTGTGTTTTCTCTGTCGTTGGATTACGATTGAAGTTATGATGAAAATGTATTATCCGTGTTCGATAAACGTGTCACCAAAGGGCAATGACCTAATGCGCTAGTTTGAAGTGATGCACAAATATGCGGCAACTGCAGATACTGTCTAGCGTTTCCTTCTTTCCATTTATTTTCCGATTGGGGGTCACTTGCTGGGTCTCTCCCTTCTTCCGGCATTTCCATCGATGTCTTCATCGATTTTGTTTCCTCCCTCGCTCACTTACAATTTTTAGATTAAGAAATTTAAAAAAATTTACGAAGATTTAGTTCTCAATAATATCTTAATATTTTTCTTAAATCTCGAACATATCGTCGGGACCATCTATGATTCGGTGTGGACCGCAATATGGACGCAACTGCATTTTAATATCATCTCGAAAAAGTTCAAGGTGCTAGGCATGAAATGTTTTCTTTAATTTGTCAACTGATTAAACTGCGTGTGATTAATTTATGATATCTGTTTTTGCAAGTTTAATGAATAGCATAATAAGGATTAATATTTTGAACTACTTTATCTGATGACACGGAGGTAGTCATTTATGTTTTAACTTCGAATTATTATAACTATACTTACAAAAAGCAAAAAGTCCATTTAGGTTGATGGGACAGACGACACACTTTTATAGTTGATGTAGAGAAAGCATCATCGGTAAATATATGGAAACAAACATGGATGTGACACATTTCTTGCTAATTTTGACAATCCATGTGATGCCACTGATTGCTGCTCAGCTTGATGTATTTGCACTACCGCAAGCTCCACGTTATGCGGCAAAACCAACTGTACCACCCGAATATAAGAAATATTTCGAGCTGGAAGATCATGCACGTGGCCTTGTGGAAAGTGTTATTGGTCCAAGACCAGGTGGTTTTTTCCCACCAAAAAGTTACGAAATTGGTCGTCCGGTACGAGACAGTGCAGAGACTAATAATGCTGCATTGAATGAAGTTGAACGTTCTCTGGAGCAGTTTCTTAGTGCACCATCAGGAATCTCTCAACAGCTACCACCTGGTTTTAATCAAGGTTTCTCGGTTGCTAACAGTGGTAGCCCCATTGCATCATTTTCAAATCTTCGCAAACACCCAGTAGGTGAACATTCCATTTGTGCCGTCCATACTTCGGCTTATTTTATACTTTTTTCACCTGCTTTATGCAAAATTCGAAATACTTTGGCAATTTCATATGTTGGCTTTTGCAGAATTTAGTAGTCATAGATTTCTAATTTTTTCACTTTTTCACTTGTCCAAATGAAGTTAACTGCTACAATCGCAGGGAACGCACGCGAAAGGGATAACGGATGAAGAAATTGAAGGATCAGGCGATATTGTGCATTCATCTATACGTGGTATACCCAACGTTTTTCCTGATTTAGCTAGACCGCCTGTTGAACTAATACGTCCTCATTTACGACAGATAGCTACAGAACAGGTCCAAGTTTCAATTATGTCTCTATCATTATGCATTTTTTTTTCTACGAGCAAAATGATTGGAAAGAGAAGGGAAGAGATGAGGGTGACCTAAATGTTGATGCATAAACAAGAAATTAAATTCGAAAAAAAAGAATGAATTGTTGAATTTGAAATGAGACGAGTCAATAAGTCATGATTACATCAGATGCCAGTAATACCAAAGATTGAATCACAACCTGAGGTTCCTGATGGAGGTTTTGGGCCTAACGGGAACGAGATCCGTCGTGCTTCACTTTCAAACAAAGAAAATAATGATGAAGGCGCCGAAAATGAAGAAGTTTGTATAGGAATTATCACTTATTCTAATTATTTGAAAATTTTTTACAAAATTTGGACTTACTGAATGATTTAAAAACTGTCGAAAGTTAATGAACTTATTTTTATTGATGGAAAATTTTCAACTTATAAGCCTTATTGAAGTACGGTGCACTAACGGACGATTCTTCATCGTCGGGTGGTCTAATCGGTACAATAATCAATTTAATCGGTTTGAACAACAAAAAAAATAAGCTTGAACCTGATACACGAAGTTTAACGAGAGCAGTTGGTAATTTGATTGAGGGTGAGAATAGCCCAATTCCAGCCAAAAACATGATCGCCGATGTTCTTTATAAAGCACTCACTAGTGGATCGATTCAGGTGATTACTTATAGCTGCTCAATGGTGGTTGATTAAAAATTTCATTTCTCAAGAACTTTAATTGAGTAACACATCTTTAATTAACTAAATTTGAGATTATAAATAATTATTTTTACATTAGTTTTACGAAAAATATATTTCAACTTTTGTAGTTAATAATTGTACAAAAAGGAATGAAAAATCTTGATCGCTTCAATTTTTGAAACATATTGGTATGCAGTGCTTATTTTCTAAACCCTTTAATTGAAATTGTTTTTCATCAACTTTTTAAAACTAATTTGTCCATGAATTTGTGCATGGTAAGTTGTAGACGAATGGAAGTAATGAAAATTCTGGGATCAAATCAACATCACTGACGCTTACCCCTGCACAGCAAGCTGTAATCGGTGAAAATTTGGAAATGATTCAAAACCTAATAACTCAACCATCGTCTCCGCTCTGTAATCCAAAACCAGTTCCCATTGAAGAATTTGATGTTGATGCGTTCATGGGTCAATGGTATCAGGTTAGTTAAAGCAATTTGTAGGAGAATGTAAGGGATGAAAATTCTAGGAGAGAGTCAATATCTCCAACTTTGGTTTGAACTAGTAGATGTTTTGAGCGATGTCATGGATGAAAAAAAAACTAACTTTCGCTTCAAAGTTAGGAGATTTTTTAGTAGTTGAATATTTTAAATCGAGAATCCAAAGTCTGAAAAAGTTTTTGATGCCTGCAGGTCATGTATAGTCCACCATTGGCAACAGGACCATGCAGTATGGTTGCTTATAAAAAGTTAGCAGATGTGAATGATGGAGGAGTTGGCACGATATTCGAAGTATTTGAATATACAACTGATGGTACACCCTATGTTAAGCCACGTATCAGCTCTGGTTATGCTATTGTTAAACAAGCTGGAGAATTAATTTATCGTACAACTAGTTATCAGGATGATGTCAACGGTATTTATATTAAAAAATAAATTGTTGCTGTAATCTTTTGTCGATCACTGAAATAATCTTACTGAAAATTCACTTCCTTTTCTGCAGCAAATCAGTCTTTCTTTTCACTGTATGAAAATTTCAGTTCATGTAATTCACGCCGGTCCGCTAAATGAAGCCGGCCAATACAGCTTCACAATACTCTCAACGAATTGCAATTACCCATTATATGTATTCGCACGCGATCCTGTCGTTTATAAGCAGGTCACTAATATTTTATATTTAAATTGCTGTGAAACGATTACCTTTAAAAAAAAGAAATATGGTATTACAAAATACTTCGTAATAGCCAGACAAACATGCAGCGTGACAGTTTTAAAGAGTCAGAATTTGCTAATTTACATAACTTTAAATGAACTTGTTTTTTTTCTACGGTAAATTAATTGATTGAATGAATTCAAACAGAGAGTAGCGGTGTCGCTTGTTTTTTAATGAAAAATTCTAAAAACATGAAATTACCCAATCTGAGGCAACTAAGATTGAAATGATAAACTGCGACATTCCACGTTTTGGATAAAGTTATACTCTCAATTTTCTCATCGCTTGCATTTATCATTTTCAGAATTGTGAAACTTTAATCACTTACTCATTATTGTCAATTATTATTAATGATAATAATAGTAATTATTATTATTATTGTAGCGTTATGAAACGACTGTAAATCAGATTCTTGAACAGAAAGGGTTAATCAATGGATTTTCTCGCTTGCTGAACATTGTTGCGCCCGTGGATAATTCGGTGTGCACATTTCCACCGAGTCTCTTCAACATTCATGAATAATAATACATTTTCATCATTGTTATCCTAAATGACGTAATGTTGCAAGACATTTATTTTAAAAAATTGTTACAAAAAGATTATCCAATCATCGTTCTTTTCTTCAGTTTTCTTTTTGTTTAATGATGAAAATTAGCGCATCTTAAGAATAATGATCAAAAATACTTGGTTTTGTAGTTACACAATGAAATAAGTGTAAAAGGATTTCAATTCGATCTCTTTCTAATCAAATTAAACTTAAAATTCGTATTCAGCTTCAAATTGATCATATTAATAATCTTTACTGCGATTTGAAGTTACAACAGGTTTTGTGTGTGTTACTGTACTTATGGTGACGAATTAGCATTTCCAAATATTTTTGCCGGGTATTTCTAATCTGTCATGTGTGGCTCTTTCTAAACACCTGATTTTCTTTATCTACACCAAAAAATATATGTAATCAAATAGCATACAGGTCAGTTCAAACTGTTTCTTGTATTTCCTACCACTTATTCAGTTTGTTATTCCATTCGAAATCCATAATTAGAATTAATTTTCAAATTGTTAACACTGTTCTTCTACTTTACAACAAAAAGATATCTTTTTCCGAAGTTTCGAAAATGTCTTCCTGAATTTATCCGATTTACCAGGCCGAAAATATGTGCATTAACACTGTACATAGTGCTCCGAATTGAAACTTTCAACATACATCTCCATCCCTTATTTGATGTTGTAATACATTTATCCAATAAAGATACAAAAAAATATAAATTCTGGATTTTGGCGTACAATCCCGCGTTTTACATTGCGCTGATTGTTATATTTATTTCCTACTAAGAAAAATAAATAATTGCAATAGATCTTTTATACATTATATGCATTTAAATAATCATTGAAATACAAGTGTATAAATAACAACAAAAACTGAACATTGTACATCACAAAGCTAGGAATTTTAATGTTCCACACACTACTCGTCCTTCTGTATTGATCAAAAACATTGAGAAATATTCTTGAAGACATCATTAAATTAATTTCAATTGACACAAATAATGCTTAGCTTTTTTATTATCATGATAATTATTATACAACTCCCAGTAATGAACCTGTGAGCCTTCAAAATGAGATGATAAAGGCAATGACTAGAGTTTTCATGTCAGTAAGTTTTGAAAACTGTTTTTAAAATCGAGATGAAATGTCTTCAATAAATGTAACAATTTAATGAAAGAAAAATGATGAAACTGTGTAAAGAAATTGCAGCTCATATTAAAAGAAAATATTTAACATTTATTGTTATTGAGCTGAAATTTGTTGAAGGAAAAGATTATTTATTACCTAAAGTTTCATCTCTTGAACGAAAAGTGCGCAGTTCTGAGGCACAACCTTTCTTTCTTACCATTTTCAAGTAATTAACTTCAAAAAAAAGCTAAAGGACACTTTATTGATAATAGGTGATGCATGTAATTCATGCAACTAGATTTTATTATGTGATGATGGATATGTACTGACATCAAGGTGATTAATCAAAGATTTTATTTTTTCAATCTTAATGTATTTTGCACTATTTTTTCCAAGAAATCACGCATTGTACTGAAATTCTAGAATAAGTTGAAAGTGATGAAATGTCCCACTTATCTCCGAATTGATTCAATGAAGGCAAAAAAAAAGAAAACATTAATTAATCATGAAATGTGAAGTAAATCTGCGATAGTGGTGGAATAACATGTGGGTCATTTGTAATTTAAATTCTACTTACCAAAGAATTGAAAAAGATACGTAAAACATGTACTGCGCATCACTTCTTATTAGAACCTTCAATTGTCATCAAAGGAGAAATTTTTGAGGTCACAGTGATGAGTAGGAAAAGTAATAGTATATTTGAGCTAAATGAAATGTTGAAATGGTAATGAATTAGTAAATCCTCGAAGATGAGGAACCGATGGAAAAAAAGAGCACACTGAATTGTGTGGATGTTGAGCTCTTAAAACGGTGGAAATGAATAGGCAAGAGGAGGTGAAAAAGGGACATAGACCCCAAAATAACCCTCTTTTGGAGGGCGTAATAGTACGTGTCGGTGTAAGAAGAGGGAGACACAGACCACTGATTATGTACCAGTGACCTAATTCAAAACATTTCAAACATTGATGAGCCAAATGACTGCTTCTTCTTTAGGTCGTTCCTCTACAGTCGGCACTATTTTTATCTTAATCTTTAAGTTCTTGTCATGGATTAACTTACCTCTCTCCCACTCACAGCCCATCCTCAACGATCCTCAACAACAGCGCCTTTCAGCTAATACCGCAAGCCCACTCTCGCTAGGACCATCTTCGAAATTTTTTCCAGATACCAAACAAAGTAATTCTACATTACAGTCATTTGGCAAAAATATTGTACTCACCAAACAGGTTTGTTTGTTAAATTCAATAGTAGTGTGGTGATAATTATGCTTATCAAAATAGAACCATATATTTATTTTAAATAATCAAATACCGACTAATTAAGTAATTCTCTAGATATAACGCAAGGACATACTTAACATGAAATTTTTTTTGAGCGAAAAGTCACTGAATCCTAGCCAACACTGCTATGATCTTTCTCCATTATTCTATACTGCTTAGATCATCACTTTATTTTCAAATGAGTATATGTCCAACTGATGCAGGAATAATATCAAGATTGAAAAATTGGGCAAGAAAATTATAATATAAATTCGTTAAAAAAATTGCTTCACTATTTTACCTTGAAAATATCTTATCAGTCCCAAAAATTATGCTTTCCAGGATAAAATCGCACTGGCAAAAATAAGCGAAATAGCGGACAGCATTTTAAATCAGTTAGGACTATCAACTGATTTTAACGGTCGAAGGTACAAGCCATTGGTAGCAGCGAGCTCCTTTCAAAATGACGATATAAATTCGGTGATATCTGAAGCAAATCAGAACCGTATCGATTTACAAGGTATTGCCAGCGGACAGATTCCTGGTTTGGCTCCAATACCAGTACCGGCTTTTCCTGGACCTCAGGATGTGCCAGCTATACCAGGAGTGAATACCATTCCTGGTCTTAGCAATTTTAATTATCTGGTCAGTTTCCTTTTTTGCTTCTTAACCAAAACATTTTTCCCAATTTCAACATTATTTCATGATTAAACTAAATATCCAAAATACTCATAATAAATTTTTCATGGCTATATTTTTTAAGTCTTATTACTGCCAAAAATTTCTCATCCCTTTTTCTTCAAATACATTCTTGAATAAGAGTACTTTTGTTTAGATAAGCCAGTTGTTCCCACAAATGATTCCACCAACAAATACTCTTTTGGGATCATCGATCAGCCGATTAGTGCCAAAAGGTTATGCTAAAAATTTGGCAAAAGATGTTTTTCGAGCTGTTCACCCAGCAGCTGAAAATGTAGACGTCGCTCGCATGATGGGTCGTTGGTTCCAGGTATGCTATTACCAATTTTGATCAAATATGCAACTTCTATTAGCATTATTTTCATTTAATTCAAATTTTAGGTCATCAACAGTCCTCATGTTATCCGTGAAGCATGCACAGTGTCTCATTGTATGTTTTGTCTGTTTTAGTTGTCGATTATAAATTTAATTCCTATTGATAACGATATTACAATAGTCAATGACTGTTGAAAATTTCGTTTCCTTTAATTCCCTAAAATAAATTTCACAATATGGCATGAAATTCTTTCAATTAATGAAAATTAACAAAGTAGTCTGAACTATGTCAAGAATAGTGAGCTTGAATAGCACTAAATTTTTATTAAAATTCAAAATTAATCTTTTACAGTTGGTGCCCTGACGAACAACACATATAGTGCAACATTTACAATCCTGAAGTTTTACCGTGAAGGGAATGCTAATGGTCCACCTCGTTTCTCCCTTGGTTATGGATTCAAATCAGGCGATACTGGGCAATTCGTTCTACATAATAGCAATTCACCGGATTCAGAGCCATGTAATTAAATAATTAATTTATAGTATGGTCAAAAAAATGCATACCTGCACAACAGTGTTGTCATATATAAGACTGTACTCCTTCCTAACATTCAGAATGTTTGGACATTATGGATCAATTCACTTTGATTAGAGCAAGACATAAGTTAGATCAACATTCAAGTTTGATTTTTTGATTATCTAAAATATTGTTTATCACCCCTAGATGAATCTAAATTTGACGTTATGCGATTGCTATTAAGCAATCCAATTTATATTCAATGTACTTTTCAAAGTTTTGATTATGGAAACAATTTAAGAGAAAATTGCAGTAATTTAGGCCTTCTTTTTGGAACTCACGTATTTTCAGATTTATAAACAACAGACAGTACATATAACGTGAGTTTCACTATATGAAGGACGTTCGTCATTCACATTTCATGGATTAAAATTTAGTAAAACTTTCACATTGCAGTTTGGGTAATAAAAAAGGGCCCACTAAACGAATATAATCAGTATGATTATGTGATTGTATCAAATTGGGTCCGATTTCCTGTATTTGTGATTGCCCGAGACCCAGAAAGATTCCGTAGCCAGCATATGCGAAATGTGTTACAATTTTTGGAAGACAATAGTAAGTTACAAATTGATTTCAATAATGATAAAAATATAATGATTTTTTCAAATGAGTGAATTGTGATTTAAAAGCGATTGATTTGCATAATTTTGATTTTTTTTGGATTCGAATTTCATTAAAACGACGCGAAATATTTTTCAGACTACATAAATGTGATGACAAAAGCTTTCAACATGATCTCTCCCGTGGATTACAGCCAGTGCCAATATACGCCAACATTTTCTGGAGCAGGACGTTAGCTATTACCTTTTTCGTTTCATTGGTTGTCGTAATGCATTTGTATTCCAAAATTCTATTGTTGTTTCATTAACCAATTGAGACGTGATTATGTAAAGTGTGGCGGAAATCATTAAAAACAGTAAATTCTGCAACAAGCTCTTTCTTTCCTGCTGTCAAAGTAAATTGTTTTGTCAATCATCATTGAGAAGCCCGTGAGAAAACTGAATAGCAATTTTGAAACGATATTAACCCCTGCACTTTTAAAAAACTAAGTAAAGCAGCAATTGAGAAGTCTGAGAAAGAATAAGGATATATAGAATATTAGGTTAGTTAAAATTGTTTAATCAATTGATAATTTCATATGCAAAGGGATTTTATTTCCAGAAAATAAGTTTCAAAATAAGATACTGCTATATAAACTTTGAATGACACTTGTCGATAGGCATGGTTATTAGTTTCCTTTCTATTTGCTCTAATTTCACGTTATTCATCATTTCCTGATTTTTGCTGCTTTACTTTTTTTGACAAAACTAAAAAAATTCTATACCTTTCGGATCTTATATAACAGACCTAGAAGTATGAAAGATGAAAGTACGCCAGATGTATCGAGAAAATGTCAAAGATACTGAAACATTTTACACACACTACAAATTGCGCCTCTTCTGCATTGTGGGAAAATTGTTATTTTCCCTTAGGAAACATTCTTTGAAATATTACATTCGTTTGTAAGTTTTCGTTCAATTCATCTACATCTTCCAATGTCCTATACTTCTTGAATTTTGCTATTTACTTCTAAACATCAATAGCAATTGTTTTCCAGAAATTAGCAAAGAAGCCTGAGAACTCAGTAGAAGCAAACTAATCAGAAATAATATCATTTTTTCGTTTTTTTTGAAATATAACAAACAAACTAATCAAAATTGTTCTACTCCTCTGCGCCAATTTCATTCGCCATTTAATTCAAAGAATTTTTTTGGTTTCACACCAGATTTTAATTAACCCACAGATGTGTTTCTCATGTTTATAACTCTAAATCGTTCTTCAAAATTCACCCAAAACAAAAAAAAAATTATTAAAAATTTGATAAACTATCTTAATTCTTAGAACCAGTGATTAGAAATTAATTTACGTCCCATAAATTTTCTCGTTTTAGAACACTGAGCCAACAACGAGTAATAAATCATTTGCGCACAAATTATGAATGATTACTATAAAATCATTGTAATACATATGTTATAACCAATACTTAAAATATGACATTATAAAGCAACAAATATAAAATGCACAACTTAATTTTACTTGTTACTCTGAAGAACTGAACCAATGATCTAAGCTTTGATATGACAGCTGATGTTGGTTTTTTGAAACTTCTAATTTAGTAAAGCTTCAATCATTTAATTTCTACTAAAATTTATCAGTAATGAACAGATTGCTTTGATTAGTTAGTTCATTGAAAATGTAAGGAATGTATTGCATTCCACGGAATGAGTGTAATAACTCCTTTCGAAAGAAGAGAATTAAAATTAAGTTGACCGCGTACTACTAAGAGACCACATGCACAAGGATAAGTACTATGATGACATCGATAAGTCATCAGTCTATTTCATTCTTAAATGATTTCACCGAAATTCAAACAGATCTCGGCAAATTTAATAAGGAAATCTCCCCACATTTGTAATAGTCTCTATCTCCCAAAATTTATTTCGACCTCTATCTAATCTAGTTTGAAAAGTGCTAAAAATCATGTCTTGCAACATTTTGCGGGTCATTTAGGGATTGACTAAATTCGTCACATTGATTACTTCAACTCTAACGAAACACATCCTTTGCAAGTTTTTAAATATTTGAAGGCTGAACAATCTTTTTATTGTTGCAAATAGTCATTGCGACAGTCATTTAGCTAGCCGGACTGCAGATCCAAATAATTTCGTTTTTCCGTGAATGAGGCATTTTTTTCCATAATTGTTAAACAAAAATCCCCAAATTTCTTCCCAACTGGATAAGCATTTTGAACATCAATGGTAACATGTATATTGGAATTTAATTACCCATTGGTTCATGAATATATTGAAAGCTCCTTCAATTGGTAATGATTCCACACATAACCAATCCAGTTGTCAGATTCTAGCAGAACTATAAAATGTCAAACGTTTGAAATCATACAAGCAACTTTCATCGAGAAGAGGTCAATATTTAAGCATATTTCCCAAGTAATAACGAAATTAGCAAAATCAGTAAATCCATGCGGTTTGAAATCCTTAATTTATAATAATGCAATGATAAGTCTTAAAAAGACAATATATAGTTTAATCGAAAGAATATAACAATTTATGCAAGGAATTCTGCAAAAAATGAATTTGCTGATATTAAAGGAAAATTGTGATTTATTGCATGATTACCAGAAAAACTTCCCAAGCACAATAATAATGTAGTTGATCACATTTCGAGAATTCCTTTAATATCGTCACTATTCTCAACCATATTAAAGATGTCCATATTTTAGAAAGCACTCTCAAGAAGGTATGCAAAAGATATCGTGCATAGAGCGAACTTTCTGAACACCACCATCCAAAACACACACACAATTGTATCCTTCCAGCACGCATAACTTTGATATCTATACAACCAATTTATTAGTTTTTTATTAAAATCTAGCGACCGGTTCTTTCAGTGATACCACTGACAATTGATGAATATGGATCAACATGACCATCCCATGTGCTATTGGATGATGTAACTGACAATGTATCAACAAATACTGTTAGCAGTAGCGTTTAGTCTTTTTTGCTTTGCATTCATTTTGAAAAACTGGCAATATAAGTAAATCATGAAAGAAATCTGTAACCTTTTTAGCCCTCTGCAAATGTTCGTTATCAACGATAACGATGACATGACCTGCTGACTGCGCGTTCATTAATGCTGTTTTAAGGGTATCCAACGTATCTTCCTCACCATACGGAGGTAAATTCACACTGCCCACAATAGCACCACGAGAATATCTGAAAATTCCAACAAAATATTTACATCAGAAACACACACTGATTGACTCTGAATAGCACTTGAGAAAAAATGTATTGAACATATGAATTTACTCGTATTGTGGACGGACATCGATAACAAGTAATGAAGAATATTCAGTGAGACGAATGACATCGGTAGCTGATATTCGCGGACAACAAAATTCATTCAATTCAGTTACAGTATAATGCGTCATTGCATACTCCTCTCGCACATGTTTCGATGCATATTGTCTGAAGGTGCATGATGCTGGCACAATATTGTAGTAATTCAATGAATACTGCACCAAACGTTCCATATTTAGATCTGATAATGAACATGGATGAAAATTAGGAACACACATACAATAATCGTCATGTAACTTTGGATAAAACATACCTGGAAGATCTGAAAAAAGTAAGATCGCATCATTGAAATGCGTAGTAATAAGTCCAGCCCGTAACTGTTCCATGATTGCAAGTCCAACAAATAATGGAAAAGATGAGTCCGATAACAATAAAACATCCCAAACCTAATAAAAATGGGTTAAAATTAAGTTATCAATATATAACGAAAACAATTTCCATTATATTACACAAGTCTTAAACAAAGTTTGAACATATTATTTAATTACCAATATTACACTCTTCCACAGAAATTTCTTTAACTTGAGATTTATTGCAGTCTGAGTTATAAAAAGTACTGCATATAGAAGTTTGAAATACTGCATATGCAATCAAAAAATCGTACATAGAATAACTTATGCAGAGGTAATATATGGGCAAAACAAGTGAGAAACCATGGAATAGCGAATAACTCAGGACGGAAATCCATAATGGAGAGATGTGTATATAATGCTGCATCCACGAATGCCAAAAGATGAAAAAAAACTGCCAAATATTCTACAAATGAACTCGATCAAACATACCACATATCATTTAATAATGAAAAATAGAAATTCATTCTAACCTTGCACAACAGATGAATTGTCTCGCAAGAAAAAGTCATGCAAATAGAGTCTGATGAACGATTCTAGACAAGAATATGCACTGGCTGAAAATCGTATAAGGCAACATATTATTTGATTACAATAAAATGCAAAAATGTTCAACTAAATCGTTCAATACTGTACTACTGCTAATAAGTATCTCCATAACCAAATTCATTCTGTAAATGGAAATTGATACCTAAATGAGTGAAGTTAAGAACAAGAAATGGTGCCGCTAGAGAGTCCAAACCTTGCCAATAAACGTAATTTTTATGTAAAAGGAGCCATGCCTTCAAAAGACGTTTCAGTTTGCGATGAGCAATTGGTGAAGCCATCAAATCGTCATACTGAAAAAGATGAATTATTAAATTATTACTTTTTAAAGACACGCCATACTATAATGGCAGAAATCGTATTGCCAGGCGCGGTGTAACTGAAGTGAATGATAAGATGGAGAAATTGTGTCCATAATCACAATTTTTAAAAAACAAATGGGAAATTACAAAGCCATATGTCAGTTTCATCAATTATAACAAAAAATTTTGTTCTTGTTACTCATATCTAAAGTACATTAATCTATTATCTTTTGTGGAAACTAACTAAATCGCATATATTAAATGGTTACTGAAAAAACAGTTTTTCTTTTAAAGAGAAATCTAGCACTGAAACATGCTTTTGTGTGATTGTTTCTTGGAAATGTAACCTGATGACAACGAGGAATATCGACCAATAACTGGCGATCAGAAGCATGAGGAGAAAAAGTATCAACTGCTATGAAACGTTTCTCAACATCCCAATATATATTCAACAATGCACTCCACAAATTAGCTCTATATAGGGGAGGAATGTCATGACAACATTCGCAAAACAAAAGTGACTTTTTGAACGGATAACTTGAAAGTAAACGGCGAAGAATAAGCATCCGTCGACCCTGAAATGTAGCCCCTGATATGGAAGAAATTTTCCAAAAAAGAAAAAAAAATCTGTTAGATCTTGAGATTATTATTCAAATAATGGATAGAATATATACCTGGTATTCAATATCTTTTTCCTTCACCATTAGCGACAAATCGTTTGACTCTCGCGTTTTCTCTTCCATTTCAAATGAAATCAAAAATCTGCTTTCGTTAAGGGACTTCATCCTCTAAAATGTTAATTGCTGTTAAGTACATGCCAGCAAACAGAATCAAATTCTTAATGATGAAAATAGCATAACTATACTCTTAATGTTTTTCTTCAATGAAACTTACGTCGCGAAAATTATTTGATGGAAGGATAAAAATATCGAAAGCGAATTCATATTTCCTTATATGAGCATTACCATACATAAAGCAATCTCCATCAACCAAACTGAAAAGAATAAAAAAACGTGAATATAATAATAAAAAAATGCCATTAGCAAATTATAACTGTCAAAACGAACTATGGTAAAGCGAGAACAGGTGGATTTGCTTTAATAATGCCATGATTAAGAAAAATAGTTTCAATACTGCTTCCACATAACTTCCATAAAAAAAAGGCTTCGTTAATAGGTAAATTTTGAACTGCTTCTGTTCCTTCACTTTCTAACAATTCTGAAAAATATTTTTTAGACATTGTATTTTACAGTAACATATACGAACAATTATTTCTAATCATAATAGATATGAATAATCCATAACAGAACAAACCTCTCATATGTTCAGCACTTTCCGCCAGACTGCTTTCGTCGTTTTCACTATTATACACACTATAATCTTCACTTATGTTTGAGTGACTATTACTTCCATCCTTGATTATCTATAAAATTTTGTTAGATTAATGATTACAACTTCATACAATAAATAATTGAATGCACATTAACAATACTTACAGAAAGTAACTCCCTGGCAGTAGGTCGTTGCGACGGAAGGACACATAGCGCTTTCTCAAGTATCGTCATGATCGTGTTATTTGACGCAATATGAATACTTCGTTCCTTCTGTTGAATTTCAGCCAACAATAACCGAAAAATCGAGCCACTCCGTTCTTAAAATCAGTTGAAAACATTTGTAATCACTTATCTCCTTTAACTAAAAAAATCCTCAACTGTCTTGATTTTTGTTTTTTTAAAACCTACTTCAACTTAACTGTAGTTTTTACATAAACAAAGTGATGACAATTTAAGCAGTACCTCAACAAGCTCATATATTATATTATTTTATAACAGGTTGAATTAGATAATTACATTTTCAATTAAGTCAAAAAATATCAATTAATTCACCTCTGCTCACTAAATTTTGTCCAGTAAACAGAAGCCTGAAGACTAATGTCTACAAAAAAAAACTAGTAACCAATTGTAATATTTTTCAGAAAATACTGAGGAACTAAAGTAAATTTTTAATATGGAAAATATGCATGAATTACATACTTTTTCTGATTAAGGCAATAAGTGTGCAATAAAACTGCTTCGGAGACCAAATTTCAGAAAGAAGGCAACCCTGAAAATGATTTATATATAATGACAATATAAATACAGAGAAACTGATGTTTAATGAAAACAAAAATTATTATTATCCATCAAATATGATAGTTGAACACTAAAGAAATGTGAATTTCAACGATAACAATAAAATGTCTACGCAGCAAAAAGCATGATTGTCATTAGATATCGCTTTAAAATAGCAATAATGGCAGCATAACATGGATTTCACGAACACAGATTCTACTTGTATAACAAAAAGAAATTGATCTACGATTGAGAGTTCAAGCGCAGCAATCCCAAATGACCAGATATCTCCCGCTCGACAAACGAAACCATTTTTGATTTGAGCTTGCAAGAAACGCTCTGGCGGAAGGTACCAAGAATAATTAATGCGGTATTCTAAATCTCTTCTACTGCCACTGATACAGTGCAAACCATACTGCGCTAACCGAACCAAATTCTGCAACATAACAGTGTGTGATGTTGTCATAAAGTTGTGACGACATCACACTGTTATGTCATGCACAAACATGTACCTGAGATGACAAAAGGATCGAATTTAAATTGAAGTAACCAATAATGATATGCTGAGAATGCAAGTACGTAAAAGCTGACAAGACCGCTTGTAACAAAGATATGATTCGTGCCACATCCAACCTAAAACTTCTGATTTTGCTGATATTTCTGTTGAAACCATTATGAAATACTGAAAAATTAATAAATGCTTTTATTAGTAACATTTCTACAGCATCAATTAAGCCAAACAAAAATGAAGATCGCAGGAAATGTGATATTGTACTTTTCTGATGACGCTTTCACTGAATTACATAAAAGCAATATTACATCGCGCTTCTATATTTTTAGTTAGAAATTCCTCTCTTTGAAAGATATAAGTTTTCTGGTGGATAATGCAAAAAAAAAACCAATAGACATATGGTTCAAACTTAAAGAATTCTATGTGAAATTCTACATGAAATAAATTGCTGAACTTCATATAAATCTTTGTTGAACCGTAAATTATAGTTTGGAATTCATTTAAAACTTCTGAATGAAAGTCCAGAAGCTACACCGAAATCTTGAACATAGTAAAATGAATTGCAGGAGAATAAATTGCCAAAACTACTTCTCCATAACTTCTTATGCATATCACCGGCTTATAACAAAGATCAGCGTCATGTAAAATGACAAACAATAGGTAACTCACTTCCTGAAGGTCCAGCTTTAAATGACTACGCCTACCAATGACGTTTTGAGAATCGACGGATGATGGAACAACTTACTTTTTACATTCCTTCAGTTCTTCAACAGCTGACTGTGAATAATGCTCCGAAATCATAAAACCTGCATTCTCAACTAAAATTATTAAATTCAGATCTGTGAAGAAATTAAAGATGTTATTTCTGTAATTCCACCGTCATTACATAAAAATTGACAGATCTTTATAATAATAATAACTGTATGGGAGTCATTAGATAACACTCAATTTCAAAACAGCAATTTTTGTAAAACATTAAATGCCTTAGATGAGTCACAAATCCAGCTGTTTGAATCTCACTCAGTAAGCATTTTGAAAGGGGAAACGATGATTTCCTGCTTCTAGTACAAATCAGCAAAAACAATATTTCAAGTTCTCTTTTTCATTATAAGCCTTGAAAATGGAAAATAAACGAGAATGTGAATATTGGTAAAAGTTGAAACAGAAAATTTTCGGGAATGAAACAAGCATAAATTAGTTTGATTGGACCAATTAAAATGAGAAACATACGAACTGCTGATCGAACAAACTCCACGTATTTGCACAGGTTGGGATGATTCAATGACATAAGTTTTGAAAATTGTCCCAACATATGCGCAGCTGATGATGTTGCCGAAAATCCGTTTGTTGTTGCAGTTTGACATGATGCGTCATCTCCAATTACAGCTGTCGCGCCGAACTCCGCTGACCCCAAAAGACGTACATCTACTTCCACCGACATCAGAGTTGAATAAAAATACGAACTTCAGCAGATTCAATATGAAGTCGAATATAAATTCAAAATTACCAAATCCGAGAAAACTGATGGAGAGTTTGAAAGATTGCAAAAAACGAATTTAAATAAGCGTTTACATAAACAGAAGCAGAAATGCACATTCAACTTTACAGGTTCACTTTTTTCAGGATGTGAAAATCAGTTTTAAGTATACAAAAGCTACTACCTATACCTACTTCATGATAGCCTCTCTGAGAGTCAGCTATATAAAGACAGATTTAGAGAACAGACAACATGTGTAATCCCGAAGTTCTTTCTAAAAAAGTCATAATCTCTTAAATGAGCCTAACTGTCCAGACCAAACTTCATTTTACTTTATCATTATCTCACAAAGATTTACTGTGCTGATAACACTCTGAAAGGTACAGCGCAATATGATTAAAATGTATCTAATAGTTATTCTACAATTCTATAAAATATTCATATTTTCTTCATTTCGAAGATATTATTTCACTGAACAAAATTCCTTTTGTAGAAATGTTGAAGTGTCACAGTTCGTGTTTTTATGAAGAGTGATGTATTATTGCATGTGAAGGAAGGAACGGGTTAGCAGTGTGATATCTTCAAGCAAGATTTACCAAAGTTTGTCTGCAGATTAGCACATTTGCAGCGATCCGATAGAAGTATTTACGTAAGACAGTCCATTAAAAACGTTATTATGTTTCATGATTTATTCTGTCCAAAGTTCATTCAAGTTCAGTCTCGTAGATAAATAAGTTGGGAGAGTTTCGCTAAAATTTCATTGTAAGAAGATAGACACTTCATCACAGGATAGATACTTTAACGTTGAAGATGTTCACTATTTGTGACCTCAGACAAAAGACTGTATCATTCATCTGAGGAGTAAACATGATATTAAATGGAGGAGTGGTAAACAAATCACATTTCCAAGTTTGAAGATCCAGGGAAGATACACGAAGTGTCGGCAAGAAGAATGAAACATGCGCGTCTATTATTTTGGATCTGTTATCAAAGAAGTGGTTGTCAGGACTGCAACGCTCTCTCGTGCAATAATTCTTGGATAACTGTGGCGAAATCTACCTTCTGATGTATTGAAAGTTCAAATAATCAAGAATCCAAAACTGTTGTTAGATTTTATCAGCAATTCAAGTTACGTATTCTGCGCGATGGACAGTTTACGGGATAGTATGAGCGCTATAAAATTGAAAGATTTAAGTGATTCTCGAAAGAGTTCAACTCCCCGATGCAAATGGTCCCCGCAGTGTGCTGACCTTTTCTGGAAGAGTGCTTATATCTAAAGAGGAACAATGACAGAAAATGATGTGTTACAGACGGTGTACTACATGCATACACACAGGGATATGAATCAGCGCTCTTTATCTCAGATCAGATTACGCTCCTCACCGATATAAGCCTAAGCAGTGAATGGAACATAAACATAAAAGAGTGATGTAAATATAACGGTTAGGAAGAGGATGGAAGACGAGGATGGAAAGGCGAGGTGCAAATGTCAGCATGAATGTGTGGTAGGAGAGAGGTACCCTTCGCTTGCTGTGCATGCTGTGGACTAACTTATGGCTGTTAGATTTGGCGTGTAGTGTGGATGGTTGCGCCCCTCACTTTGACTCGTAACAAGAAACGATCAGTAAGACTTATCGCGTTACTCATTGCCCCATGCTCTGCAAAATTTACTTTTATCTGACGAAAGAATTGAATTGTCCATTGAATTCAAAAAACTCCATAAGTATCTTCCAGTAAATTCAGATTAACTCAGTAAAGTCATTTGATATTTTATCAAACATATAAATGTTGCTTACTTTGAGAACTAAAGAATGCCTTCATACACTGAAATCATGCTTTCATACACTGAAATTACTACTTTTGTCACGTAATACGAATGTAATTACAGCTCGTGTAATTCCATCGTCCGTCCATCAGTGATGCGGATCGGACGAATTTATTGCGTAACTTTTGTGAGCAGATGAATACTGGAGCAGATAAAAAAGTTTCAATGAGAATTTTAGCACATAATATGCTTTTATCAGATCAAACTGGAACTACCTTGAAAGTTAATTTCAGTTTGACTAATCTTTCACCTTAACTAGCCTTCGAAGTTAGGGTCTTGAACTCTCCTTAAAACGCTTGTTTTATCCACAGATTCGTTTTCTTGTGAGTCATTCGCATTTTCCCATCTTTGTTGTAGCCATATATGGAGGAGGGCTGTACATTTTCTGCAAGACTTTCAGTGTGGTAGCTGTCAGGTCGTTATTTGAACTGCTATTTAAGCTTGTTGATAGTTTCCACTAAACACTTAGAAAAGCTAGGTCGTCGTTCATAATTTAAGAGAATATTTAATTGCTTGTATAAAAATCGGTCTGTTCCATCATCTTGCACTGTGAAATGAGAAATATTGAAGTAAGAACAGAAATAATTCAATGCTTTACAAGTGGCAAAAGGCAGTGTATTATCTTCCTAAATTCAAGCTTGTATGAATTACTTTTTTTCTTCTATAAATATTCATAATTTTGCTAAAGATATAAATTATATCACTAATGACGACTGAACTTAGGTTTATAAGCCGCTGAAGAACAGAACATTATCTGAACTGGTGGTATTTCTCGGCCATCCAGACTCGCAACATCTAAAGATGATGAATGCTTAATTTCACAATATCTAAAGATGATGATAGATGTTAATGTGTTAATATGCAACTTTTTGTTGTTGAAGACATATTTTCCAGCTTTGTCTATTTCTGCACTTCCTGCTATTACACTCATCTTCGCTGTACCAATAACTATACTTCTGCAAGAAATTATGTTTTCAGTCCTTAGCTAAGAATAAGCTATAAGAATGATCTCATTTTTGTTTACAAAAACTTAGAAGATGGACTTCATAGTAACTATTCTTGATTTTAGCTTTTTGTCTTCCCTCTGTCACTCTTCTCTTCTAAATAGTTTGATATGCATACTGCATTTGTACTTCTAAATGACAATCAAATAACTAAAATAATGTGGTTTGGATATGCCAAAAGGTGAAGACATCATTATATTTGCACCCTCGTAAAAACGATTCTATTTCTTGCAATTTTTTAAATCGGAAATTCGCTTGGTTAGCATTGTTAGTCTTATAATGTGTCTCATAATGTGTAATCATTTAAGCAAATTTGTTGACTTTTTCTTACAAACATAACATGTGTTCTAACGATCTTATCCATAAGCAGTAGAAACATTTAAAAATGTCCATTTTTCTAGTTACTTTTAGGTTCCCTCAGAGTCAAGCATCTTTATAAATAATCTCATTATGTTCATCGTGAATCAAATTTGTAATGGAACTTTTTTCATGTTGTGATACAAAATGTAGCATAAAAATTTATTTTTGTATTAAAAAAAATCTTTTGTTAATATGCACCGTTTGATTATTCACCTTATGTAGAATTTATGTAACTTTTACAATATTCTTCTATATCTGTTAACGAATTTTGAGCCTTATCATAATGCTCGTGGGTCGGAAAGGCAATCTTTTCTCCTAAAACATCTAGAAATAGTGGTTTTTAACTTTTTGGCGGAGGACTTTGCGGATTCTTGCGGTTTTCACCTTAAGTGCAGCATCTGCATTAATCACTCATCAACCATAACATGAAGTTTTTAAATTCTTCGAATCATGAGTTGATTCAAAGAGGCAGAGAATTTTAGCATAGGTTATCTGCATTAAATGGACAAATGGGAATAATGAATTTGTTATGGATGATTTTCTAGAAAAATTGGTTTTTGTCGTTTTTCCATCCTTATGATTGCGCCCATGTTCATTTGCTCTTTGTGTGAATGGCTAATGTTTGATGTTTCATCATTTATTTTTCACAGGAATCCAGAATTTTGCAGACAAACGGCCTTACTAGTGGTGGCTTAGGAAATAATTTATTTTCGACTTACAAATACATAGAAAAGTTGGCAGGTTTTTCGTTTTACCTGTTTTTTGGTACCAAGTACATGTGTAGTTATTCTTTCAATCTATGGTGAACGGCGCAGTCAAGAAACTATATTTCTTATTAACTCTGGAGAATCTTTGCTTCTCAATCTGTCATGCGATGTTGGAAATGAGTAGATTTTTCAATACTTTTTATTTGGCCATTGGACCTGGATCTCTATAACTTTATCTGTTATTATAATTTCTAGATCAGTTGTCCAATTACTGGTTCTTTAACTGAGTTTCTTGTCTTATAGTCCTCAAGAAAAAAAGCTAAAAACTCGTTTCTCTAAAAAAGTTCTAGTGACATATAAGATATAGAGGATATACTCTCTTCTGTAGTATTTCTGCTGTTGAGCAGTATGAAATTTGTTGGTCAACAATAGTGCATTATAGTAATTTGGATCCGGTTGTGTGACTGGAAAAAGTATTGGAATATATTGAGTTTTAGACTTAAAATTTTCCGCAATATCATTGTTTTGCTATTTCGCACTACACAATGTGGGTGGTATGTGAGATTCTCAAGACTTAAAGGAAGACTTTTATTCATTTTTTCATCTATAGTTTACGGAGTGTCAAATTTTCTCTTACAAAGGCCTTGTATTTCATCGTCCAGATAAAAATTTTCTTCTCTTTGCTTTTAGTGATATATGAACTCCAGTGGTTTAATTTCAACTTTCATTATTGGATGTAGATAGTGAATACATTCTACACTGGCTAAAAACGACGACCCATCCTGACATTTTATTGTTGTGTAAGGAAGATAATCATTTGTTGTATAAAAGCAGTACTCGATGCCTTTGAAATTGATTTGCTGAGTGGTAGAAAACTATCCGATATTTTAAGCAAGCTGTGGTCACTATGGGTTGGTTGACCCGTTGTCAACATTTGATATCTGTTATTGCATTTAGGGCTATATAGAAGAGAGTGGCCATGGATTTTGTGAAAGTGGGAAGATGCCATAGTACTGAAAAGGTTGCTTTGCGGGAGTGAATTGTGTCATTTTTACATTAGAAGGAGGCATATTGCTTAGCATCTTGTGATATCTAGTCCAGATTAAATTTTGACACACTGTCATGCGCTGAATACCTTACTGGTAGAGCTTTAAGTTGCCTGTTGTTTATTCAGTAAATTAATAGTATTCGTGGCATTTTATTGAGATATTTTACTGCATCACTTTATCTGAAAATCCCAATGCGTTGTTTTTTAGCGGACATGACTGCGATTCATTTCTTTTTATTGTTTTTTCAGCCGAGATCTGGTCTGCATTCTGCTGTAGTGCAGAGTGTCTGTCATTTCCACGCATTGGGATTTCCAGATGCAAAGTACTGTCACTAGTTTAAAGTGTGTTTTTATTAATAGATGTAATTTTATTAACGAATGTAGCAAACATTTCTGAAACACATCTATATTACCATGTTCAAATTATATTCTATTCAGTAATGGGAAATTAATTAATCAAAAGGCAGATGTGTTAGCCGCGGTTGGGCAGAAAAAGCGGTTGAATATGAACAACATGTTGAACATACTAAAAGATTATTGCAGAAGATCGGGAATATTAGATATTACAGAATTTCACGGTAAACCGCTGCATTATTATCTTTTGAATTTCGGTCCTGAATATTCAGCAGTTCATGGTATATTGCGATTGATTTTAGAATTAGATAGTGAAATACGTTTACCATTTCATGTTCTTTTTTCTGCATTTCACCGTAGCTTAGTTATTCACAGTATATAGTTGTTTTTATAGGTAGTTATGAAACAGCACCTCACGTTGGATTACTGCATTTTGCCACAGAAAATGATTCAGCAGAAGACGTACATCCAAGCTCTTCCATATTTTGATCGTCTGGATTATATCACGATACTTACAAATGAACAAGCCTTTTTACTAGCTGTTGGAAAGTTGGGAATAAATACGTTCTCGAACTAAGGGGATTCGCAGTATGTTTTTTTTTCAGTAAAAATTTACGATATTTGCTTCAACTCATTTTTAATAGCTTGAATGTTTGCAGAACGAAATCGTCTTTCAAATCACAAGTTTATTATTGTGACCCATGATTTGATATTGGTGAACCGATGCTTTTATTCTGGATGTTTTAAGAACATAAAGAACTTTTCGAATTCAAGTAAATAACTTTTTCATTCATTTTTTACAAAGCCAGTTTTGATTTGCTGACATGTCTTTTCGATTTTGTTTTTGGGTTGTTCTACAATAACGCTTTATGTCGTATTTCCATTCTCATGTTTCTAGCACTTGTGACTAGTTTGCTTATGTTTTCTTGTTTATTTACTTAAAAATTATGGATGTTTGTTCTTATGTTATCGGTTTTGTAACGCTTCGTTACAGAAGCTCTGATTTAGGATAGAAGAAATTAATTTCCTGGTTTTTCCGACAATGATAGGTAGCATTTCGCACATGATTAGTACCGGATATATCTGCTTTGGTGAATGTGAAGCTGAAATATGGAACAGGACTTTAACTGGAATAGGATCAGGACGTAATTTTCCCAGCTTGACTAGTCTGTTGCGAGGTCATGCTCGTGTAAAGCCGACATTATCCGTTAACATAATAACTTGGAATACTTATTCTTTATTTCTTCCAATCGGCTTATAGAGAAAATATTCAAAGTTCATACTCTTTTCATTTTTGGAATGGTTTTCAAGCTATTCCTTTGTGAGATCGGATTTTTTGAGATCTGCAAAAGCTGGTCCTGTTCCGCGCACTTCGGAAATGTTCACTGAAGTGTCGATAATAATCAATAATTGCCATGATGTTGCAGTAAACTTAGTGGAAAATTTAATTTCATTTTTAGCGCACTATTTTATCGTGTTCGCTTCCGATGTTGAAAGAGGCACTTAAATGCGTTGCGTGTGGATTTACAGAATATATTAAAAAAAGTTAATGTGACAGTAGAAATAAGCTAATATGGATAACGGGATATGAAGACACAAATGGAACCGTGAAAATTTTTATGGGGAAACGGTTTAAAGGAGGCCGTTTTTATTTTAGCAGAGGAGAAAGGAAGTCTTTATTATACTTCATAAACGTTCAGTTTTACTACAGTTTCATTGGACATATTTTAATTACATTTATGCAGCAATAACCGTAAGTGTATAAGTTTTGAATATGATCTATTATCTTGCATGCTGGGTCCCTCCATATCGAACGGTTTTTAATGCTGTTAGGTCAATCAGAATAATAAATTTAATGTTTTATAAATCCCATTCGAAACCTCCATATTGTAAGTGTGATTTGTGTAACAGTTAATTACGGAATGAAAAGGATCTAATACTAGCCTAACATAAGCTACACTGCTGTTATTTTAACATACTGTTAGAGTTGATATCACCTACGAGTTTGGGCTTGAAAATGAAAATGCGTCTTCAATCGATGATTGAGCATAAAGGCGTGAATTCTCTACGTATTTTGAAATAAAGTTGGCTCTAACTTTGCAGATTTGGTTATTTGACTGGTTTACACGACCTATATGAGTTTGATTTCTGATGTAATTGCAGTCGTTGGTACAATGGATATTGTTTTTGATGAGGGAGGTGAATTGAACCGATTTATGCTATACTGTTTTTTATTTTTGATATCTGATGTTGCTTCTACAAGCATTTGAGTGAAAGAATATTGCTTACTGTTAGTATCAGTTCTCTCTGAAAGAAGATCAGATATGGGTTGTGTTGTGCATTAATTTATTTGCTGATTTATTACTATAACATTTTGTTTTCAATATGATCTTTGGGAAGGAATCTAAACTAACTGTGTCCAATTATAAATGTTCTTAGAGAAATTTCTTCTTATTCATGTATTTAATCTGTAAATTAAAGTGGAAAAATGTAGCATTCCTGTATAGTATAATTTTCTAAAATGGTAATAAAAATATGTGTATATGTACCGGTAGCCATTCTGTTTAGATGCGATTGCATCGTGCATCAAATTGCGATATCGTTTTCATTTTAAAGTTGAGCTTTACTATCTATAGGCG